GAATAAGCTGTTGGTTCTCTCACACCAAGGAAGTCTTCAGTTTCCCTCAGGAATAGATTTTAATTCTACTACTAGGAGTGTGGCTCTCCTGGACTTTTGGGAACATAACACCTGAAAAACTAGTTTTGTCTGTTGAAGGAGTAGTTATAGTAAGAAATATATATATTGATGTATATACATTGATAGGTACAAAAATCTGTAAGAAATCTGTAAATAAATATTAATTTATTTCTTAGCTTTGTAATTAATGTAACTACTGAGACAATTTTGCATGCACTGAAAGGTACTTAGGCTTTATATATTTTTTCAAACCAGTTCATTTTAAAAACCTCTATTTAAATTGCTCTTTTCCTTTTAATTGGAAAAGACAAACTGGGTTTATTTTAAAAAAAAAATTAAAAAATCTGAAACTTTTTCAAGTAGAAGTAGTTGATTGAAGAAGACTTTCAAAACTTAATTTTGACTTTATGTTGAATTATTATGTGAGTTTAAATATAATCAATTAGCAGGAAAAGAAGCTGACTTGTTTTTTCCGATTTATATTGTTCATTATTGGAGAATTGCTACCTCATTCTGACCTGTGACTTCTGCTCATGGGATAGAAGAACAGAACTTTTTTTTTTGTCTAGAATATCTTCGTTTAGAATTTAACTTACTTATTTAACTCAACTTACTAAGTTGAATGCACCAAAGTACTGAAGGAATTTTTTCCTGCCTCCTCTTTTCAAGTGGAGGTTTAGTGCTCCCAAGTCTTTGCCAGTCTTCCATCAGCTGAGTGTCGTCTTGTCCTTTGAAAGCTTGGAAACAAAGAAGCAATGACAGCAGCTTTAATATAATTTATTAATAAGATCTTGAAGTCTAAATTCATCTTGCTTTCAAGTTTTTGATGGCTTTATTTTGGGAAGAACTGATAAAGCCTTATGTTCTGCTACCCTATTAAAGGCTCACCTCTGTGGGTTGTCTAGTGACTAATAGTGGGGTTAAGTATAGATGGTACATGCATTTGGTATGAGTAACAAAGTGGGTTTCTGTTTTTCAAGCTTTCAGTTTTATTTGCACAAAACACCTATGCGTCAATATATTTTTAAATACATAGGAAAACACCTATGCGTCAATATATTTTTAAATACATAGGTATATCTTATAAATTTTGGTAAAAATAAAGTATTTAAGTATATGGTTTTGATATCATATGCTTTATTGCTATATTTAAAAAAAAAAAGGCTTAAAAATGATATAAGCAAATCTTTTTTGGTTTGTTTTTCTTAGAAATAACTCGTTTGAGGTTGTTTTTTTTTTAAATCCCCTTGGATGACATGTACAGAGAAGGTACTTTAACAGGTCTACATCAGTTAAATGAAATTATCCTAAGAAGAGAAAGAAGGTTTTGGCTTTTCTTTGGAAGGCAGTTTACTTGTCAGGATCAGATGAGGATACTCAACTAATTAGTATGGATAACGCAAGAGAAGGTGATAATAAACTATAACCAGTTCGGAGAAGAGAAATGAATTACTAGCTTCAGCTTTAGTATGTTGGAAAGAAAAGCTATTGTGTTATCATGAGATGTGTGTTTTCAAAACTTATCGCTGTCTCTTACAGCTATGCCTCGGTTTTCCCACAGTTAGCTAATCAAGGCTGATAAAGGAGTGGAAATATATTATCAGTTTGTTGTGTCCTGTGTTTTTTCCTGATCCTACTTATCTTTCTTTCTCACACATGTATACTTGACAGATGTTAATGAAATACTTCTTTGAACTCAACAGATATTAGTTAATGAAAACTATCAGAACTGAGATGAACCTACTATCCATAAAATATATTTTTACCACTTTGATCTCTGACAATTTGGCTTTAATCCTGGTCACCCTGCGCTGGATTTCATTGTACATTCAGTTTATGTCTGGCTTTTGTTCCAAAGCTGCAGATAAAGTGGAGTACTGTTCTGAAAATTTTCAGACTGTTTATTCTAGAAGGAGACATCCAACGCGATACTGGGGAGATATGCAATCTGAATGCTGGGACGACTCAGTTGTCCATATCAGTCCATTGATATGGAAATTGTATTTTCCTGAGTTTCTTTGTTATTACATAGGTCTCTGAAGCAACTTTACCTGTAGTAAAATACAGTGAAGAGGAAGATTGTGACATTACTAATTTTTGAAATCATCTAACTACAGAGGTCCTCTGATTAAAAGTCATGAAGTTGACTGCCTTGGGCCAGCTTGGGCTCTCACTCTGGCTGAGAAGAGTCTGTGTTATCTGTCCCGATGGAGAGCCAGAATTTAATGCTCTGCTGCCTGGGACTTGTACAGGGCTTAAACTGGTCTTCTTTTGTTGTAACAATTGAAAATCAAAATGTTTTTTGTTCGCATACAATTAGATACATACTTGATTTTTTTCCCTTTAAAAACAAGTTTTCTGATGGTAATGTTTAGAATACTTAGCAGAATTATAATGTATTTTGTAGAGTTTGGGAGGGGCTTATTTCTTAAATGTGTTAGTATTTGAGGGTGTTTGTGTTTTCTGTGTTTGTGTGCAGATTTTTACATTTTGTTGTATGGCATCAAACTGCCACTGAACAAAGTTTTATTTTTGATTGTAAAAGAGAGCATGATTTATTTTGACACATCAAAAAAAAAAAAAATTATCAAATTTGACCAATGCAATTCCCAAGATTTTTGTTGTTTTGGTCTGATTTAAAATGTTTTAAAGAAATGAATGGTGAGATTCTGTACCTTGCTTGAAGGACTGCTATTCTTTATGCTTTTCAGTGAATGCTTTGCTGGCAGAATTGAGAATTGCCACTATTATGCCTCCAGATTTCCATTTCTGGAAGGCTGCACTAGTGCTGTTTGGGGAGGCACTGATCTATTATGATGAGGAGACAGAGATGTTAAGGTCATGTGCAGTTCACAAGTGAATCATAGGCCCTGATATTATGCATCTCCACAAAGAAGATGATTTACTTTGTCAGCGAAAATAAAAGAATCTAATTTATAGGTTTCTAATGCTAAAAGTGCCTTTTCAGCTTGTATGCTCTTGTTCTTGCAATTCAAGCTTAAGAAGGGAGTAAAAATCTGTTGAGTTTTGTTGGTTTTGTATGGTTTATTACCTTTGAAATCTATATTGCAAATATGTCCAATAAAATGGTCTCTAAGAAGTGCAGAGTTGGAAGAAACTAAGTAGAGCTGATTTGTGAAGAATTTAAGAATAATAGTGATCTCTGCAGTGTTTCTGCACTTAAGTATCGTTACTTTCTTCAGGTTTCCTTCAATCTTGTTTCTGGGATATTCTGTGTGCTCTGTTGGTCTCTTGCAATGTGAATTTTAGATGGTGTCCCTTTTGTGTTGCTTGGTGCAATTGAATCAGGATGCAGTCAGCTCATGTCTGCCCATTTCTGCTTCCAGTCAAGTAGTTCTGAAACCCAATATTCCCTTGACACATCTCCCTCATATGTAATGCACTTGTTTAAGCATTAGTTTGTCCCTGAACCTACTTGACAGAACCACAGTTAGATAAATTGACCAAAGCTGGTATTGTTTTAATGATATGTCCACGTGAGTTTGCCTTCCACGTACAGAGCTGTTGATTCTTCCTGACTGCTTTGACATGTGGCTTCATGCCTTATTTATTTCGCACTATTCCAAGCCTGCCGTGATCACAGATGTATGATTTTCCTGTCAGTCGTGTCCTTTGTGCTTGCTGCTGAAGCCTGAGTGACTGGACATCATGACCCCATGAGGATCAGTTACAATTTGCTGTTTATGCAGTGGGGATGTGGCACAGAGATGTGGACAGAAATGGCTACTAATTATTGGGTGCTTTTTATTTTCTTTTTTTTTTTTTTTTTTTTTCCTCCTGTGCATGGGATGCTCTAGAAGGGAAAAGCACAAATTTGGAACTACAGGGAAAGGAGCACGAAACTCTTTTCTGAACATGATGTTAAAAATAAGACAGGAACCCAAAAAAGGAGGATTAGTGGGAGATGGTGAAATGTTAGGTTCCAGTAAAATACCATGTATTTCCCTGGCTGTGGCAGAGGCAGATCATGGTGCTGATTGTCAGCTAGCATTCACCCCTTTAGATAGAAGAACTCCTTCCCCTCTTTTTTGTAGTCTCCTCCCACATTCACTGCATATTTTCAAACTTCTCATTGAGAGAAGTGGGCATCTGATGGACAGCCTTCCTCACATACACCTTGATTCAATCAACAGAGAATCTGCAGTATGCTTTGCAGAGTGCTCACTGGGTGAGGCAGATATTCAATGGAGTAAACCATATCAGAAATTTAATAACTTATTAAAATAATTAAATTTAATAACACATGTGCTAAAAGGTAGACCTTTTTAAGATGAAAATGGGCAGCTGAAAATAAACAGAAAACTTTAATATTTGAATCCTTACTATCACAACCCTGAGGGGTTACTTTAAGGAATATCATTTAGGGGATAACTTGAATCGTGTAGTATAGAAAGGGCTTCTGTCTGCAACTTCTTTGGGCTTAAGTGGGGAAACAAAACAAAACAAAACAAAAAAAATAGAAAAACCAACAGGTTGAAAGCAACAGACCTCGTGTGGTATTATCTGTGAACTATGATGGTTTTGAAAAAAAGTTGGAGTTATCTGACCTGCTCTACTGCAGTTGTACAATTTACCAAGGCTAGCCATAATCTATCTATATTTCTCTCTGTGGATCACAGCTAGAAAGAGATGTGACATGTCACTGAATGAAGCTATATGCTGTCATTGTGGCAGTAGAGGGTGTCTCCTGTCATAGTGAATCCTTGCCTTTCTCTATGTGTCTCGGGTCTCCCTTCTCCAGCTATCTAGATTAAGGCTGTCATGAATGTATGCCAGTGGATACCAGCTGGTTGGTTGGTGCTGGGACTGCTACTGTGGAATTACCAGGTCCCCCTCTGAAAATTTATGGTTTCTCTGATAGATCTTTGAGACAGGTATGTAAAACCTAAAACCTTCTGCTCTTCATTTTCATTTCCTAGGTCAGCCAAGCCTCCGAGAAGCTATCTCGATGTCCTGTATAACCAATGGGAGTACAGGAAGCAGGAAAACAAGCCACAGTTCCTCTGTATCTGTTGCCAGAAAAGAAACTTTTTCATCTGCTGCAAAAAGGTACCAACTGGTTACTAAAATTGAGATCACATTTTATAAAGTGAAATGGGAATGTGATGTGTAATAACGCAAAAATAAGCTTTGGAAACGTGCCGTGTTGTTTGCCAGCTTACAGCAAGGTTCTAAAAAGAATTCGTAAATAGAGAGTATCTCTATAGGGTATATTGGCTAAAATGCATTCTCAGCAAGAGACAGAAGGGGCAAATATACTTCAGTGTGAATGGAAAACTTTCCTTCTGGTATTCATCCAGATCTTTTTCTTTCCGTCCCCCAAGGAGACTAAAGATGAAACTGAGTTAATTGTCTTGAGTGTAAATAGCAGGCAATAGTAAAGTAGTGATGAAACAATAGTGAATTTTAAGACAGAAGTTTACTTTTTTTTGTACATGAAATCTTAAATCCAAATGTCTTCATCTTTGCGAAGTATGTATCAGTTCTCAAATAGGTAAAAATAGCGCTTTTAAGCTTAAGTATTTGAAATTTAAATGAGCTGTACACAAAGCAATGGCTTTTTTTTTTCCCTCTAGTGTAATGGTTCCTGCTGAATACAATAAGCAAAGTGTTTCTATAATTACTTTCTTCTGTGGGATGTTTAAATAATGATTGCTTGGCTTATTTAATCAATACTTTACAATGGTTCCTTAGGAAGAACAAGCTGCCTGATATAGCCACAGGACAGAGAATACTCTTAATGTATAACCGTGGTAAATTATGTGAACAACTTCTTGGCCTCTGCAGAGTTCTCTGGTAACTCCAGTAGCTGTTTCATCTTCTGCTGTGGATGTAAATACTGTGCTATACAAGAAGACAGGAAAATGATGTATTTCAGGGAATAAAAACGCTGAATGCAAATATAAACTGTATAAGAACAAATTTAAAAAAAACCTTTAGTGCCATTTGGAATGTGGAATGGAAGGGTAATACCCTGGACTTCACTCTTCTCCCTCAAAGAGCATTGCATGTCTTCTTGTTTATTTTTTCAGCAATAAATTAGAAACTGATCATGGTATGTCTCTATCTGCTAGCACAACAGGCACTGGGACAAAAGACACTGCTGAAGGAAAGTATTTGTTAGTAAGCACTTTTCCATTAATCTTACCCATGTGGCTCTTAGAATGTTGTTGAGAGCCAGTCTGTTTCCAGCAGTACTCAGTTTGCATTTGCCTTCCTGATTAATTGGCTGCTGTGCACTTGACTACAGAAGAGGAGCGGAGTGGTGTGAGTGGCATCCCTTTCATCTGAGTTAACATCTTTAAAATGATTCCTGGATGGGTCACAAGAGGAAAACCCTAATGTGTGGAGGGTAGTTTTGCCCAGGCTCTGAAACCAAGTATGCAGGTGGGGAGCCCTGTTTCAGGAATGTTTTAAGACTTCCAATTTTCAGTTATCTTCTCAGCAGTTCTAATGCCTTTCCACAGTCTCCCATAAAATTTGTTTGGTATTTGGAAGAAAACAGGTTTGTCCTTTTGTAACAGTACTGTTTTAAGAAAGATGACTGCAAACGTCAATTCTCTCTTTGTGGATGTGAAGTCTGGTAAATTTTTTTCTTTTTTGTAACAATAGCAAAACTGTTCTGTACAGTGTTCGTGCTGGGAATCGTAAGTGAATTTCAATAGTCCCATCTTCTTAGCTAAGTCAGGATGATCATGTTGGAAATAGACACCTTTTTTCTTTATGATGAATAGGAGGCAGGCTAAAGGATAGTATCAGCAGATTGTAGAACACTTCACTTTTACTTTTCCAGGCTTTCTTTTCAGGCTAGAGATTCAACTGTTGCAGTATGTGGAAATGGTTATCTGTTTATCACAGAATCACAGAATGGCTAGCGTTGGAAGGGACCTCAAGGATCATGAATCTCCAACCTCCCTGCCACATGCAGGGCCACCAACCTCCACGTTCAATACTAGATCAGGCTGCCCAGAGCCCCAACCAGTCTGGCCTTGAGCAGGGACAGGGCATCCACAACCTCTCTGAGCAGCCTGTTCCAGCATCTCACCACTCGCTATGTAAAGAACTTCCCCCGATCTCCAACCTAAATCTCTCCTCCTTCAACTGAAAACCATTTCCCCTTGTCCTGCAGTTATCAACACTTCCAAAGAGTTGATTCCCCTCCTGTTTGTAGGCTCCCTGTAGGTACTGAAAGGCTGCAATGAGGTCACCCTGCAGCCTTCTTTTCTCCAGGCTGAACAAGCCCAGCTCCCTCAGCCTGTCTTCATAGGGGAGATGCTCCAGCCCCCTGATCATCTTTGTGGCTCTCCTCTGGATCCTCTACAACAGCTCCCTGTCTTTTTTGTACTGGGGGCTCCAGACCTGGACACAGTACTCCAGATGGGGCTTCGCAAGAGCAGAGTAGAGGGGGACAATCACCTCCCTATCCCTGCTGGCCACCCCTCTTCTGATGGAAGTTTATGTAGTTACCAAACAGCTCCAAAGTCTGTCTTAGCTTTTCACGTTCTGAATATTTGTAGCCACGCATCTAATCATCTACTGGAAGTTTAGTTTCTGTGTGCTGTGCAGTCTTAATATTGCATGTTTATTGGCCTTTGGCCTCTGTAAAGCTGGCATCTTTGAGCACTTCTACAGATAAACAGTTTCATACCTGGACTCCTTAATCCTCACTCTACCAACCTTGAACATCGTGAGATCATGGGAATGATCTGCACAACAGCACTGTGTCTCATTTCAACAAGCGTGCTGCAATTTCAGCTGTTGCTTCAGAAGCACTGAAAACAGAGCTCAGAAACATTGTGCAAAAATAGATAGATGATGTCTGATTCTGAGAAGTGAAGTAATATGTATGAGGAAAAATTCATCCTAGCTGTCTGGAGCTGATGTGTGACAGAGATGCCGAAATGCTTTTCAACAGAGAACATGCTGCATGCTTTCTATATCACCAGAGAAACACATTTGTACTTTGTGCTGTGCTCACAGGGACCTGTGATCATTTTCCTTAAGACTAAACATTTTTTCTAAAAACAGCTTCTAGTAAGGAGCTGTGTAATTTCAGACTGACCACCCTCCACTGCAGCTGCCAGAGTGTTGTGATCCAAGGGATGAAACATTGGGTTAAGTGAAAATGGAGAATCTGGAAAATTAGCACAGGTAGTGATAGATCTCAAATACTTGAATGTGGACTGAAGAAATGCTTCATCAAGTTGGGATTTGGAAAAAATTTTTGGATGCATTAAGTGACTGCTTCCCAGAAGAACTAATCTTTAGAAACCCACAAGAAAAAAAGGTACTCTCTTTGATTTGGTTTCAGTTGTTGCACAAGAGGTGCTAGGCGTTCCAGAGATATTAGTGGGAGAGCCACTCTACAATAGCAGCCATAATTCAATTAAGCTTTTAGCAGTAAATACATTCAGCACTCGCAGTGAATATGTTTTACAGTGAAAATATTTTAACTTTCAAATTAAAATAGCCATCCCATCCCCACACCCCCCCCCCAAAAAAAAAAAAAAAAGAAAAAAAGAAAAAAAGAAAAGTTTACTTGCAGCCTGGTGCCAGATAAAAAACATTGTATTGGAACACCAAGTATACCTTGTGCTGCAACTGCTAGCAGTGGTTGAGTGACTCTCAGAGATTAACAGAGAAGCTAAGTAGTGAAAGTCATGTCAAAGGTGGGAAGTGGACAGTCTACAGCTGAGAAGTTCAGTGAATAAATTAAAATATTCCTATACTGAACCTATGGCTTCTAGGAGGTGGATCAGATGAGCTGAATGAGTTCAGATAAGAACACAGAAAATATGAGACTGAAAAGTTAGGTAATGCACTGCTGTCAGCAAATGGTAATTGTACAAGCATGCTGGAAGAATGAAGAGATGAATTTTAGGATTGCTGACCCATCATTGTAAAGTAAAAAAAACAGAGTGGGAAAGGACTTTCAATGATCATCAAGACCAACTGACCATGTCAGGTTTAACGAAATGTTGACCCTGATGGTGTTTTCCAAATGCCTCTTGAACACTGACGGGCATGGGGCATAAACCACCTCTCTAGGAAGCCTATTTCAGTGTTTGACCACCTTCAAGGTGAAGAAATTTTTCTTAATGTCCATTCTGTTTTGTTTTCTTCTTACTGAAAAGAAAATGTAACTTAGAGGTACTATAATGATGTGTTTAACTAGTTGATATGGTTTAGTGTAGAAATTCCAATCGAGCCTTATAAATTTGTGAAGGGTTATGTTATTTTCTGGTATTTTACCCAATCCTCAGTGCTTCATCAGAGTGTGTAGAAATATTAAAATGAAATGTTTTGCAGGTTTTGTTTCAGTGATAGATGATACACTTTGAAATAACAATTTGAGCCAAGAGGATCCTATGAATCTTGTATCAAAAACAGGACTCCATTTTTATTAATTTGAGTATTTACTTAACTCCTTTTCACGGATAGTGTTTTGTGGAAAAATTGTAAATGGAAAAACTGTGAAGATTATACAGGAGTTGAGGGGAGAAGTGATGTGAAGAAAGAGAAATCTAAATACTGTTCTTCAGAAGGGTGCAATTTCTGTTTCACTTTGAATGTAAGAGAAAAATACTTTTATCCCCATTTTAGCTGCTGCTTTGTTTGGCTGATGCATTTATTTTGGAAGCGGTTCTTTTATCATATAAAAAATATGCTGTGTACTGTGGAATGCTCTTCTCTTTCAAGTCCTGTTACTCGTTATGTCATTCCATACACTGCAAATTGTGCTGTTCTACGCAAGTGACCTTTAGTTAGATCTTTAATGAATTTAAGGTTGCTAATGACTTACACTTAAAGCTGTTTCAAATGTTAGCCTGATAAATACAGCAATGTGAAAATAAAGATGAATTCTTGGTTCTTCTATATTAACTGAAGAAGTGGCAAGATAGCCTGACATTATCCAGCTGCAGTTCAAAACAGTGATGTGTTTTGAGGGATGATTTCCTTTGAACTCTGCTGCATTCACTTCTGTCAGCTTCAAGTGCTGTAGCAGCACCCAAGCATGCTCAAATCAAAGTTGTATTTCAATTTAAATCAGAGTAAATTTAGTATAACTATCCAGTATAAGTAAATAAACATCCATAATTCTATCACCATTTTTATTTTTGGAGCTTGTATTTACTTGTTTTATCCTAATCTTGTTTTAGCAAAATTCTCTCCTGAACAGTGTGAGTAGATAATCAGAAGTTTCTTTAAGTGATGATAGATACATAATGCTGTGACATGCTTTGCCCATCTTTTCATAGAGGGCATTTTCTCCCACCTTTTTAATTTATTTGCTTGTTCTCTTCTTTCTTTCTTTCTTTCTTTTTCTTTTTTTTTTTTTTTTTTCCTCCCCTGTATTATACTTTATTTTACAGCGGTACAGAAAAAAAGAAGGAAAAACCTCCTGGACAGAAAGAAAAAAAAGAGGAATCTCATTCTAATGATCAAAGTCCACAAACTCAAGCATCACCTTCTCCCCAGCCGCCCTCACAGACTCTCCAAACACACAGGCAAACTCCAGAAAGCAAGAGTTCTGCTCCAACTAAAAGGTTTTCACAGTACAGAGCTAGAAAATGATTGTAATGACACTGAGTTCATATCTGACAACAAGTCATGTGAAATAGCTCCAATTTCCTGATCAAGTTAATGTTTAATTTTTTTTTGTGAAAGAATATGCATTCAATATACATTGCAACAGAGCAAATCTCTTGAAAAATTTTGAGCAAATTTGAGATTGCAAAACGTTTTTGCTCAGTGATTGAAATTCTAATATAGTAAATTTACCTCTAATCATTCATTATCTTAAAGTACATAACAATTATTTTGACTTGATCTTTCTCTACAACCACATTATAGGTTTTGTCTAAATAGTTGAATTGAGTGCATTTTGTGCATAGACATTTACTACTTGCTGTTACATTTCTGAAAGGCTAGTGTTATTGCAATTCTATTTTTTTGGACGTTTTTCTATTCAGAAAAACCGCAGTTCAGATTTTTTTCTTTATTTTGATTTTTGCCTTTTCTCTCTTTTAATTCCTGCTAGTTTGCAGGAGAATTCACTTTTATTCTGATTCTTTACTCGAGTGAAGTTGCATTTTGACACCCAAATCACAGAACTGCTTGACTTGACTGAAGGTAGGAGTTCTAGATTTGCCTCTGTTCCTCTTTTTGGAGGAACAAAAAATAGAAAATAAAAAATTAATGGACTGGAAAGTTAAGGAAGTGAATTTTATGATTTGGTTTTAATTCTGAATTTAAAGGCTATTCAGATCACTTACTGTGTTGAGCTTTCGGGATTTTTTTTCCCTTTTTTGCATTTTTTTTTCTTTTGGTTCATTATCTTATTGTTTTGGAAACTCTGACATCTTTTTCTCTTAAGTTTTTTGTTTGGGAGGCAAACCTTTAAATTTATTTCTCTGAAATTTACTGTAGTTCACAAGATTGTTGTCTTGCATTGCTTGAATTCTAATAAATATTTAAATTTCCACTTGACTGATGCATGTCATAACACTGCATAAAGGCTGTCTTCATGTCTTGTACAAACTCTACGTTATCTGAAGCTGAACTTGCAGCCTGTTGTCCTTTTACCTTGGTATCTCACTGTAAAGGTGTTTGCCTGAAGTCTTGCATACTAATCTTCTGCAATGTGGGGAAAAAAATAAACGCCTTTTGTGGTCTCGTGGTGTAACATGATTTGGTTAATGTGTTTGTCTCAGGACCTTTTCTAGCCTCCTGAGGTGCTGTGAAGGTGAGCTTGCCAGTTCTGAGGCTACAGTTCAGAACTTACGCCTGCAAAAAGCATTTCTGATGGGATGACATGTAACACTGCTAGCTGAACAGATGCAGACAAAGACAGTTGGATGAGAGTAATATGGCCTATATCACTTTTGAACATATTTTCCCTGATTTGTGTATGAAACGAACTAATGACTGCAAAACTTTTCAGCTTCCTATTATTGTAAATTGGCTACAATAAGATTGCTGAAAAAGTACATCAGAATTCAGAGATTTGTCTATAACACTGAGCTAACCCTAGCTTGCCTTTGTGTAAGAAGTTTGCAGGCATTTTTCAAAATGATTGAAGCTATTAATGTTGTTTAAAATGGGCTACCTCCAAAGCAATCTTATTCAATCATAGTCTGGCAGAGTTTTTCCTCCATGGATTGTTGGTTTAAATCGAATAGTGTATCAGTCAACAAAAAATCAACTTTTCTGAGTGATTTTTTAAAAGTTTATTCCTTAAGTCTAATATGTTGTAGCTGCTTTTTCCCCTTTTTTTCTAATTTCTTAGCAAAGTGGTAACGAAGTATAGAGATCTTTTTTGTTCAAGACTTTATGTAAGAGTATATGAAAATGCAAAAGAATGGATAAAACATTTGGCATCTGTCTTGCTCAGTTGTTTTTGTTCATCCAGTTAGAACTTTTTGACTAATCTTTTTTTCCTGTTTCATGCTTCAGCTTGAAGGAAGATCTAGCTCTGCTTTTGTCTACTGCTGCTTGATCTGTCGGTTGCAAACCCATTCCAGTTACTCTTATCTTCTTGTCATTCTAAAATATATATTTTTTTTTCTTCTAGCATAAAGAGATCGTTGACTGCTGAAAAACCTCACAGTGCTTGGGAGAGCTCAGATGACAGTCGTAACAAGCTACTGAGAGTAGCATCAACATCTAAATTAATATCGAAAGTGGCAAAGAATGCAGACAAGTACGTATAGTTGGTGCATAAAAGTGAGTGAACTTAAAAATCAAAATATTAAGAAATTGCATAATTTAGTGAACTGGAATATATGCAAAAAAAAAAAAAAATTTGCACTTTTGTTTTCACTGCAAATAATTACTTGCACAATTTGGAAATGTGACACTCCAGATACTAGCGGAATCTGAAAATAGTTATAAAATGTGAAAGCATGAAGTGAGTGTAAATATATTTTAATGGTCTGTTTGGATTAGCAGAATTATGTGCTATGAGTTATGATTTATAGCTTAATACTACTGTAGTGAAGTTTCTAACCTGTCATTTTAATGATTAATAATTATTTGAAAATGCCATTATATTTCCTTGCTGTTAATTCACTGGATTTGACGTGTGTGTTTCTAAAGTAGATTGTAGTTACAAAAATAAACATATATGATTTCAGGTAGGTCACTGGTTAACAAATTTCTGCATACTGTTTCCAGATAATAGGCAAAGATTTTCTTTTCAGTCTGACCTTTAGTATGCCAGGGTTTATTTTCTGTTACTTCTGTCCATCAGAGAGTTCTATTTAAACAGTAAAGTGTTGCAGTGTTTTTCTAGGCCTGCTTTACAGCTTTTATTAATGCTTTCTGCATGGCGGCCGACTTTCACACAGCAACTGTGCATGTGCTTGCTTTCCTGCTCTGCCCTAAAAAACCCAAGAGTCCCTAGACATCAAAGAAGGCCTGAAGAATTGAATGGTGTTTTCTTATTTCATTAAGGTCTTGACAAGGCATAGAATACCACTTCTCCACCTTCTTAACATGAAGGGTTAGTTCTGGAGGAGCGAGCCTAACGGTGCTCAAAGTGGCTGGTAGGCTGCTGGGTGCTGAGGCCAGGCTGAAGCCTTCCCTGCTTTGCTCTGTACATCAGGCTGCCAGAATGCAGTGGGATGCCACACTCAGCAAAAACATTTCTGGATATCCAAGATAAACCACTGCAACTATAAATTAAGTTACCTTTTTGTCAATAGTGAATGGTGACAATGGTTTGTTGCTTTTTATCTGCTATGTTCTCCCGACCACATGGTGGAAGCCCTGTCTCCTCTGTCCTTACGTGTGGGTTATGCACTCTAAACCACTGTTCCCCTTGTGCTCTTCTTCAGTATTATTTTTCTCAGTTAGTCTCTCCACAGGGAAGGCACTAGGAAAGAATAGCACTGAGTAGTTACTTACCCACTTCTGTTAGCACAGGCACGAGTTTGTGTTTTGCTCTAACTCTGCATTGCTGACCCCCTTGCTTAACCCACTTTTTGTCCTCTTTGCCACTTCAGCTTCCAGCTTCATATTTGTATGTTTGGTTTCATTTTTATCTTTTGGAATTGTGCTCACTTTGTTGAAATCATTGTGCTGACTTTTGGGTTGAGACCTCTGCTGTTTTCTGAGATCCCTCTGAGTTCTGAGTTTACCCCAAAAGTACTGCCAGCTTATCTACCTTCCTGATCTCATACATCTACTCATTAATCTTCATTCAAATAATCATTAACTGATTCAAGGCAGGGCTACCTGAAAACCACTCCTGCTACAACAGGCAGAACTCCTCAGGCCTTTCAGAGTAATTTCCATGATGGTGTCCTGAGCTTCCATGTGAGACTTGCAAACACATATTTAATAAGATTGGTGTAAGTGCATACCATCTTCCCTAGGAACAGAAAGAACAAAAACATCATAAATTAATTTGTGGGGCATAGGTATCGGCACATTTACTAAAAGCTTTATGTTTAGCCTGAAGAGTGCTGTGGCTCAATGAAGTGCTGTGTGAGAGAGATTATGGCTTACATATTTTGCAAGTACTTTTGTTTCCTTTTAGTACTGTTTTTGACTTTCAGAACTTAAATGCCCTGTTTTCCCAGTAGTAGCAGAGTACTTATAGATAATATTTATGAATGAACAGCCCTCTTCTTAATCAAATTTATTTCCCGATTTCTATTATCCTAATAAAATATCTTTCCAAAAGTGTTAAGGTTTTCCTTTATTTAATATTGAAAAATATATTTTAATTTTATTTCCTTTCTGTGTATTGATTCAGGAAGGGTCAAAGTGAGTGCCTTGTTTCATTTTCCTGCTTTTTCTCTGGAAGACATTAAATGCCACCCTTCTATCGTCTCTACTGTAGAGCAAATCAGATGTCTAAGATAAGAGTGGTTGACAAAAGATTAGGATCAATTACTATCAGAAAAAGTTATTTGTCCACAGCTTGAAGCTCACATATCTTAAAGCATTGGGCAAAAAATGAAACTTCTAACAGTGTGGATTGTAAACTATTGTCTGATTGAGGAATGGATATTACAGTGTATTGAGTCTTTTGTTCTTACTTTCAGATTTATAGTAAAAAGAGTATTTGCATTCAAGAGCACACATTAAAGCTCATTTCTTAGGTCCTGCATGCTTGATTTCTAGTAGAATCGGTTGTATTGTGCAAAGACTGTGTTTAAAGTTCCCAATTATAGAAGTTGACCTAATCAACCTAAAATTGCCAGTCTTGTGCAAGGGAATAGAATTCAGCCCCTACTGTAGGCCTCAGGACAGAAATTTTTTACATGCGCTTTGTGCTGCCAGCCCGGAATATGGACTTTGTTTAGTAAGCTCAATCTTTAAGCCAGCGCTGAACCGTAATTCAGTCTAATGTCACGAGAAGTGACAGCATTCTCACAGCAGCCAATCATTCAATGTTTTTTAGGCAAAACTGTGAATTTGTCTTTAATTTATCTTTTGGTAGCACGGTGAAGGGTGACTGTACCAATAGCCAGAGACGACTTTCCTCATTTCCTCATGCATATGCTTGACCCTTAGTCACTGTTGCAAAAACTCGACCTCTATCCATTGGCTGCCTCTCATACCTTGCTGCTGAATTTCAAATGTATTCGAGGGTGGAATTTTATTTATTTTTTAATAATGCAATAAGTTCTCCCATCAAGACGTGTTATTCTGACAAGAAGAACTCTGATGCTAGAAATCAGTATTTCTTCCCCCCACCCCCCCAAAAAAAACCCAAAAAGACAGAAATTTTTGTGAAAGTTCATTCTTGGTTCTGGCAAGGAAAGATATCCGAACTGCATTCCTTGAGAAGACCTTGTGTGTATCCAGCAGTGCTGTGTGGATCCATTTTAAATGAAACTGTGACTTGCTTACATTTAACCCACGTGTCTAACAGGGTTAATTCCTAGAGAATTTCATGTTGTTCTGTGCAGACAACTTGTTTTGACAGGTGGTAAATTCTTCACATGCAGACCTGAGGGTGTTTGGCAGCTTAAAACATTTTGTTGTTACATATTTGCTCTCTTAAAATGGAATTTTCAGTCCACAAAAATTATAACCTTGATAATTTATTTTAAACATCATTTTACCTCTTGCTGTCAAAGTAGTTCTTAGAAACCCGTGCCATGCTGTCAAATGCTTTAACTTGAAAATAAAAATATAGAGACCTGAGTGAAAAATGTGTGTAAATGCTTACTACGTTGACCAAAGTTAATTATATAGCATCCTGTGGTACAGTTACATTACACACAGACTCTGAGAGTCTTTGTATAGTACCAAATGGAATAAAATATAAAAGTAGATTATATGGGTTTCGTGAAGTCCTAACAAAAACTTTGAATTTTTCCCTAGGCACAAAGATGTCATCATCAGCCAAGGTAAATAAAAAACTTTATTTTTAAATAAATATGAAAAAAATTATTTTTAACTGAATAGTATTTCTTGTAAATAAATGCATTAGGAATTGTGGTTTTGAAACAGGGATGCAGAGCTAAAATTGAGTTACTGCTTACTTCAAAGACTGATCTTGCCAACCCTTACTCAAGGCCTCTGTAAAGGTCTTTGAAATTATGGATAATGCCTCATCAAACTGGATCTTTAGATAGGACAGAGAATTTTGGTGGGTGGTGGGAAGATTCATTTTACTTCTCTGGGTTGTGCTCTATTTTTCCGTCTATGTATATTTGCAAATGGAGAGAGGTTAAGAAAGCAAAAAAAAAATTAAGCTTTTAAACTGTGTACCAGTCTTCATCCAAGCACAGGTGAGAGTGAGAATTTAGAAATAGTTTTAAGATATTTTGTTTCTGTCCCATAACCAGCAAAAATGTCAACTCGTGAAAAAAACAGCCAAGGTAAGAATTAAGCTATGCCCGTTGGTCACTTTCTAATTTACCTCTCTTGTGAATCTTTTACTTGGCTTTTCACAAACAAAGAGCATCAATGCATGATCTCTTAAAAACTCTGAGCACCTAAATGAAATAGTTCAACTTTCTTATTTAAATAGATTACAGTATGCATATTAATATATACAAGGTGGATTATTGGAGTAGACTAAAATAAATTACTACATGCGTAATTTTCTTAGAGAGGAATGTGTTTAAATAAGTCTCTTCAAGTCTTGCATTGTTGCCTAAGATATCAGATTATTAAGAACTGCCAACTAAAAGATTTGTTTTCTCAGCTTTCTGTCTTGCCAATATTAAAACATACACATGCTGATGAGACAAGAACAGAACCTGAAGGTTCTCATATAGTTTCCTAACATGAGAAATGAGTCTCTCCTAAAGTGTATGCTGTTATATCGATCAATCTTGCATTCTGTGGCTACCTGCTGCTGCTGGCTTGCTCAGTCAGGAAAAGGAGCCATCCCTCTGATCATGATGGAATGTGACAATAAAAGAAATCCTTTTCTCGTGTCGCCAAACTACTCTGCTTTGATGTCCTGCAAACTGTACCGAAGCATGCAGTTTCAAAACTGAAGCATGTTACCTAAGTGCATGCTGTACACAACATCAATCTATGCACAGAGGTTTTGTTTCATGCTTTTTTTGCTGCTAATTAACAAATCTGTAGTCTCAAAACTGTGTGCTGCAAGCAAAACTACATTATAAACAGTTTGATTACTTTCAATCTCCTTTGAATTTTCTTTCAAACAAAACAGTCAGGATTTTTGGAAGCTAGCATAAATTCTTTTAATATGCAGAAAATTAACTCGAATCCAGTAACTTTACTTTTTTTTCTAATTTACAGAGAAATTACAGATATAAAATATTCTAAATTGATTTATATCAAAAGCATCATTTGAAGACAATAGGAGTAAAAAGGGATGCGTAAGCAGCAGGAATGCTGCTTAATGCCAGGGCTCCTAACACCCACCAGCTGTAGAACCACGTGTAGCAATGGTTACTATAAAAAGAAAACTAATCTGTACTCTCCAGACCAGCTGCAATTTAGCTTTGCAAGAATTAAAAAAAAAAATAAAAATAAAAAACCAGTCACACTAAAAATACCTGCTAAAATACACAGCTTTGCAATACCGAGTTGCATACAGCTAAAATACCTTGAATACTAATCCTTTCCTGAAAATATGCATCTACAATTCTACACGTCCTGCCAAACATGGGCTGTCTCTCAGTTCTCTCATCTTGGTGGCTATAACGTACGTGGCCTTGATGTTTCTCTGCTATTTATTATGTTACTGCAGATGATGTGAACTTTCAGTGAATGATGAATGAGTACCTTTCTGTGCATGTCATGCCTTAGTTTGCTCTGAGCCTGGCTGAATGAAAGAGAAATATGATGTGGATTAGTGACCCCATGTGAAGATGGAAAGTCTCATCACAGAAAACGCATTTACTAATGTTTTTAAAGTGTAAAATAGTGTCAAAACATCACTCTACCTTTAACACTAACAAATTTGCAATTAGAAGGGTTCTACCTACAAAGACTTTTTTTTTAATATGGACCAATGGATGTATTTTATGACAGTTGTATGTGTATTTTATATCAGCTTTTTGTGCATGCCTGTGTTGGGTTATGTGTTAGATTTTGTTTTGGGTTTACTATCACAGAAGTAACCACTTGTAAGCTATGGTAGTTGCAGAGGGATTTCACCCCCCACCCCCTCCCAGTATCATCTTAGAAATGCTCAGCTAATGCTCAGCCAGTTCTCTGCAGTGCAACAACATGTTTGGGGCAGGTGACTTTAAACCAGTTCTCTACAAGATAGTTGCTATTTAATATCCAATTAACAATGGACATCTTGACTCAAGTGTCAGAACGTTCAGCGTTCAGTGGTTAATGTGATTTCAGAAGGCAGATCCTTGCAACTGGACAGATTTGGCTTGAGCAGGATAGGATGGAGGGTAGCTGCAGCTGCTGCTTTTCTGCGAGACCTCCCTGTTTTGCAAACCAAAGAGGAGACAAGCAGCTCAGACACTCTTTTGTGGCTTGTCAGCTTTTACCTCTAAAAACAAGTCTGTAGTGTGCTGTTAATTAGGTTCCTGCAGCTCGCCTGAGCTGCTCCTTTTGCTGGGCTGCATGTGCCTCACTGTGTACCCCAGCACACACCTCCTACGCTAATGATTGCACTTCTTAACTTCAGTGTGCAGGGGCTTTAGGACACTGCTGGTGTGCAAACCATCCGGCTTCAAAACAGATCGACAAAGAAGTCCTTTTTCTGCCTTTATGCACTTGGAAACAGTAACATAGCAAATTATTGTAGCAGAAGATAATTGCAGGCAGTAATGGGATGGAAGATGACCGTCCTGCATAGCTGTGACCATTTGTGGAATCAGTTTTGCTTTCTTTTATTGATTCAGATTATTCAAGAAGATACTTTGAAATTTGTCACTGTGTTAGAATGCCACAAAATGCAGCGAAATGTGGTTTTGCATACTTAGTTCTTGGAATCTTATTTATCTAGCAGCAGTATTACCTGTCTTGTGACCACCCGTGTATGTTCGTTGTGATTTCTGTTGAAGTATTATCTGTGAAAATGAAAGGTTTGAGCAATACCTGAGAATTAATCTTAGATGAGTTTCAGTAGATGAAAGGCATTAGCTTTATCTGATTCGGCACGGAGCCCCCAGAGAGCACACGGTGGGTGCTGCATGTGAACATCCCCAAGACCTGGGCGCCCCTCTCCTACCAGCAGCCACAGTCTGTATCTGCCTCCTGGGCAATCTCTTGAATTTCCTCACATAGCACTGAGGCCATACATATGAGCAGTGTTGGTCATACCTTCTCTTGCAGCACCTGATACTGCTCCCTCGGTGCCTCTCTCTCACATGGATTGAGCTGCACCTGCTGTACATTAAGGTTAGTCCTGAGATCCGTGCATCTGGGCATATGCTGAAGCAGATGCAATGCAGGAATGCTTTTGTAATGCCAATCCAATGAGGGAAGTATTAGACACGCTTCCATATGTATGCTGGAGAGGTTTGGGGGTTAGGTTCTTTGTTTCTCCTTGCAAACCAGGACAATTTTTTTTTCCAATAAAGTCAAATACTAAGAAGTATTAAAATTCTCTGAAAATCCAATAAAGTTATGGATGGAACAAGCAGATGCTTGCTACAATCTTAAAAGGACACTGAACTTTTTCTAAATTCTTTACCAGCAGGTGCTTATAATTGCCTATAAAGGCTATCTTGATTTTTACTTCAGGAGATATTTTTTAAAGTATTAATCATAAAGAATTCATATTTTATTTGCAAGAGCTAAATAACCTGTTGGTTTGGGGGTTTTGGTTTGTTTGTATTGTTGGTGGGTTTTTTTTCAGATAAAAGGTAATTTTTTCACTGAGATTCTAAACTTGAGTTTGAATTTCAGTGATAGCAGCTCTGTACACGAATCCCTTGTTCATTTACTATAATGTAATAGGAGACATTTAGACATTTTTGGATGGCAATAAAAACCATATGTGAAAGAATTAATGAAAAACATTCACTGCATTCCTAAGTTTGTTTCTTTTTAGATTGTGCTATGTTAGTTTCCAGTACTTTTTCTTCTGTTAGTTTTAACTGCGCTGTAGTTCTAGCTTCACAGAAAAGGGCAATGAAACTCACAGTGGAAATATTTACCCTGCTGACAGTGTGTCCTGTCCACCGAGAGCACAAAATCCAGTAACTATTTCAGAACGGTTTTGTTATCAGACAGAGAGGTGCTTATTGAAGGTGTTCAGGTATCTGAAGGCAAATAGTGACCTGGTCTCTCATATTTCTTTGGGCTTCTGGCCCTTGTATGGGCACAGTGCATGTTATTAAAAAAAACATCAGTACTGTCAGAAAAATAAATTTGCTTTGATGTACTTGTGAGTTTTATCACTGATTTCTGAAGAAGTCAGGACTTAATTCTTTAAGCAGGAAGGTTTTAGATACTGAGTTTAGTCCTACTGAGTTACTTGTGTGCAGTATTGTTTTTTGCAAGTCTATTTTTTTTTTTACAGGAAAAAGCTAGTTACTATTACACCTGAATTACTTCAGCGTGAATGATAACTTATTACTATCTAGATAGCTGGAGTTTCCACATATGATTTTCATATCACATTATGTAAAATTATTAACCAAAGGTCTGTTAAGAAATTGCAAGACAAAACCATTAAATGATTCTAAACCCACTCAGGTCTTTGTTCTAGCTGCTTTTTCAGACTGTTTGCCTTGCAGCAGCACTTAGCAGTGACAGTGCCTGCCTGCTTCTCTGGTTCTGCCTCTGATACTTGGGTTGGGATGGAGCAGGCAGACCAGCCACCTTGTTTGGGACACCCTGTAACACAAAATGCAGTGATCTGGGCATGGTGACTGAATGCAGTTTTATTTTTTCTCTGTGCAGTTAGCATTGGTTTAAATTAGAAACAGGATTGTTAAGCCTTTGTCCCTCAGGTTAGTGGTCCTATGGAGTTCTTGGACACAGGCCTGAAGGCAGAAAGCCTGTGGGAAAGAAGCTATTTGTAGTATTAAAAAGCATAACTTCACTGGTCAAGCAGCTAGAACGTGAAGACAGATTAATAAATGTACTCTGGATGTGGTAGTTTATTGTATGTTATTAGAGAGTTCTGCTTGGCCAAGCTAGCTGGAGACACATGGGGTTTTTGGTTGCTGGTAATTTGCTCCAAGGATTAGATTAAGATGATAAATGCAAATAAAACTGAGATGCAGTTTTTGAGGTACATATTTTGATGTGCCAGTCCCAGACCTCTCCCTTGCTCTCCCAGACCTCAAATAGTCATTAATAGTTTCCAAGGTCCAATTGTGCTAACGGTTTCTTAAGAATTACTTAGATGAACAATTGTCATTTATCCACTATTTATTTCTAGGCACACACATATATAAATAAACATCAACTGTGTATGCAC